GACAAAAGAAACAAGTCACATGCAAAGGAGATCACAAGAGAATCACAGCAGACTTTTCAACACAAACCCTCAGGTCAATGAGAGCCTGGAGTGAGGTATTTCAAGTCCTAAAAGAAAACATCCTCCAACCTAGACTGATGTATCCTGCAAAACTCTCTTTCAAAATAGAAAGGGAAATAAGATAATTCCACAACAAAGTACACCTGAGAAACTTCATGAACACCAAACTAGCACTATAAGGAATTCTAAACAATATCCTAGAAAAGGACAATGAAGGTCACAATACCATGAAGCCCAACAGACCAAATCGAATAGACAAGGCAAGAACCTAAAAGGAGAGGGGGAAAAAAAGTAAAAAGAGTCAACAAAAGGCCAATAACATGACAATAATGAGTCAGAACATATCAGTTATAAACATCAATGTTAATGGCCTCAATTCACCAATCAAGAGAAATAGATTGGCAGAATGGATCAAGAAGCAAAATCCAACAATATGTTGTATACAAGAAACACACCTAGTGCAGAAAGAAGCCCATAGACTGAAAGTGAAAGAATGGAAAACAATTCTCCACACATCAGGAGCCCAGAAAAAAGCAGGGGTAGCAATCTTATTCACAGACAAAGTAAATTTCAAACCAAAACTCATTAAGAAAGACAAAGAAGGCCACTACATCCTTGTAAATGGAACAGTTCAAGAGGAGGAGATGACAATCATAAACATATATGCACCAAATATAAATGCCCCAAACTATATCAAACAAATATTAAGTAACATGACAAACCAAATAAGCAGAAATACAATATTAATGGGGGATTTAAATACCTAACTATCAAAATTGACAGATCATCTAGGCAGAAATGAACAATGAAATAATAGAATTGAACCAAACTCTGGAACACATGGACTTAATAGATGTCTACAGAGTATTCCACCCCACGAAATCAGAATATACATTCTTCTTGGCTGCACATGGATCTTTCTCCAACATAGACCACATATTGGCTCTCAGAACAGGTCTGAATAAATGCAAAAGAATTGAAGTTATCCCCTGTATATTATCAGATAATAGTGCAATCAAGCTGGAGATCAACACCACAAGACACTGTAGGAATTTCAAAAGCACATCGAAACTGAACAACACTCTCCTGAACAATCAATGGATTATAGAGGAAATTAAGGAAGAAACTAGACAGCTTTCACAAATAAATGAAAATGCCAATGCAACATACAGGAATCTATGGGACACAATGAAAGCAGTTCTACGGGGAAAATTCATAACATTGAACGCCCACACTTGGAAAACAGAGCAAGCTCAAATAAACAACAGATCCAAATGAAAACCAGAAGATCATTAATACCTACTTTGAGAACCTGTACTCCAATAAAATGGAAAACACAGAAGAAATGGACAGATTTTTAGATAATTATGAATTATCATAGTTGAACAAAGAAGATAAAAACATTTTAAACACCTCAATTATAGTCCGTGAAATTGAAAATGCAATTAAAAATTTACCAACAAAATAAAGTACAGGCCCTGATTGATTCACTGCTGAATTTTACAAGACATTTAGAGAAGAACTACTGCCTTTACTCTTCAAACTTTTCAATGAAATGGAAAGGGAAGCTATAC